GAATACCCTTTTGTTTCAATGTTACAAAAATGTTTCTGTTCACTATAATGTTAAATGAGACTAATAAAATTCAAACTGAAAAATTTTTCTAATGGCGTGTGTATGTATGTGTGTGTGCTGCGTGTGTGAGCTATCACGATTCGGCCATAGATTCGGCCAGACAAGAGAAAATGAATGACTGCGACAAACTATTTGATGTTACCGCTCGACGCCACGTATACAAAACGATAAAGGCTGAATGTAGGTGTGTGTGTGTATGGGTGTGTGTGTGAGAGAGAGAGAGATAGATATAGACTCAGTCACGAACACATAGACATAAACATATTAAAAATGCTTTAAAATTTAGACTCAGAATTATACTACAGTGCCTTTATGTGGAATAATTAATTATGCATAATTTAGCCTGATTTAAATGAAAATTATCTGACAAACCCAACTTGACAAATAGTAAGTGTTGACTCTAAAATTAAATTTTATATACGTTTCATATCTATTGGTACTCAGGTGTCAAAATTCCACGATGAAAATTGGATATACCTGTATTTAGGAGAAATTTTAGCTAGATATTAAAAATTTTCTTAGATCGTAAATTATACATATAGTAAATTTCGTTAAATCTTATAATCACTTAGAACAGGCATATTGAAAGGTGGTTTTGACTGAGAGAGCGACGTTTGAGTCTAGTGGGGAGAGAGGCTGCGAGTAAGAATTTGCACACTAAAATCTGTTTAAATCTGATTTTATGAGAGAGGGGGGGTATACTCGGAAACAAGCAAACATCACTTATATACAAGCGTTATAATCGTCTGAAAATCCCGTGAACGTGAAACATTTGTTCAGTGTTGACGCTGTGAATTTTTTTTGTTCTGTCTAGATAATCTGGGTGTTTAGCATTTTACTTTACTGAGTAGGTAGATGTCTGCCTTTTGGTCTTTCTTTATTTTTTTCTTTCCTTGTTCAGGATTTTTCTGGTCTAAGGTGATAGGTCATCTGGCAAGTTGTCTGCTGTTCACACCAATATAATTGTTTTCTAATATATATATATATATATATATATATATATATATATATATATATATATATATATATATATATACATATGAAAATGGACAAAATCCGACAATTATTTTAAGACATTTTTTATGTTTATACATTCTTTTATAAATACAAATATTTAAAAAAAATATTTAAGTAAAATGTTTATTATAAAACAAAATATTTACTTAAATATTTGAATCTATAAAAGAATGTATAAACAAAAAATGTAGAAAATAAATATATATATATATATATATATATATTAAGAAAATGGACAAGGTCCGACAATTTATTTATTAAAGACATTTTTTTTTTTTTGTTTAATGTTATTTATAGATACAAGTATTTAAGCAAATGCTCTGTTTATGATAAACAGTATTAAATAACATTTACCGGCCTGAATGTCCGAGAAATTTTCATAGAAAATAGTAATATATATATATATATATATATATATATATATATATATATTGGACTCATCCGCTACTTTGGACGTATGTAAGTAAAGTAACAGAGTTTTTAGAACTAAACAGCGAGAGTACTCGCACATATAATTTGATTATGATATTGGTGACTTGTGCCAAGCCAAACACCTTACGAATACAGAGAATTGGTGCATATAGTGTGCAACATGGTCTCCAAACGGATCTCCACAGTTGTTTTCAGAGTTGCCCTTCTCCTAGAGCGGTTGTCACCCAGGGCTACACGAGCGTAAGTTGTCTGGCTACTTACCCAGAGAGTAGAAGAGATGGATTCATAGCTTCCCCAAGGGTATTAGCACATAAGTGAATGTCACGGACTCAATTGGAATTCGAAGACGTCTCTCCGATTCCTCAATACGTCATCCATTATTCTACCGTGCCTCCTCCTTTATTCACATTGTCCTTTTATAGATATACTTTATCTGAAATTTTACACACACACTGAATGTCCGAAAAATTTTATAGAAAATATGTCCTCCGACAGGTATCGAACCTGTGTCCTACACGGAACTGTAATAATAATTATTATTATTATCATTATTATTATCATTATTATTATTATTATTATTTGATTTGATATCCTCTCGGGCACATAGCTATTTCGTCCGTTGTATGATGAATGTCATATCACAGCTCCTACCTGTAGCTTAGAGATACAGCACTTTCCTTAGCACATGCGTTGTTCCAAGAGCATATGTTATTATTATCATTATCATTATTATTATTATTATTATTATTATTATTATTATTATTAATAATAATAATAATACTTACGATAATATTAATTAATAATATTTCTTATTATGATTATATTAATAATAATTGCAATAATAATAATTATTATTTATTTGTAACTATATTCCTGTTTGAGTTTTTCTTTATCCTTTTCTTCCTTTATTTTCTTCTTTCTCTTCGGTTCCTTCATTTCATCTCTTTCTATTTCTTTCTTTATCTCTTTCCCGGCTCTGATTTCAATTTACGTCAGACAGCCGATTGCATCTGCAAACAGAATTCCAGATGAGATCAAAACAAATAACGACGTTATTCTCTTAAAACCTTTCGGGTCATGACAATACTTGTGATGTATGTTGTCTAGGTGCCTTTACGTCGCTTTTCTATCGTTCTGCTTAGCGGATTCAATGTAATCAAAAACCGGTTAAGGCTGTCAATTATGGAGAAAGCTCCATTATTTTCTCTCACCGGTCTCAGGCTCATCAGGTAAAGACGACTCTTCCTTATCAACGCATCGAGTTAAAAATTGTGTTGGTTTCAGTTCGAGCACATAAACAGTGATATCTTTGATAAGCAGAAATTCAGGCACCATGGATAAGTCCTTGAAACTGAAAAAAAGATCAAAAGCATAGCAGTGTCCGAGTCGAATTCCAAATTGTGGTGCCTTTCTTTCTGCCTGTCTGCCTACTTCGCACTCCTCAAACATTGGTGCACTGGTTATACCTAAAGAATGATAAGAGGCTCTTCTCGCGAACATCCTGTACCCGGCTATTAAAAAGAAAAATAAAAACAGCAAGAAGTGAAAATACTGCAAAAACAAATAAATCTGGGTAAAATAAAATTATTGCGTAAGAAATTTTTGGCTGAAGGAATACATATAATACACATTAAAATATCTCCCTAACTGTTATATATATATATATATATATATATATATATATATATATATATAGTGAAAAGTGTATATATTAAAAATTTGAGAGAAACCGATGGCGTTTTTTGGTTGTAATGTGGATTTTTTTAAAAATATATATTATGCTTTATTTTCCATAATTTTTTAACACGATGTTTCTTTTCACTACCTTCTTCAGGCAAAATTGGATATTTCCACATATTATTAGAATATATTAATTTCCCTGATGTTTTTCGATGTTAAACATTTTCGATGTTTCAGTAGGTATTTCCATTTTTTGAAACAGTGAAATTAATGTCAACTGGCCTTGAAATTAAAAGTCTTACTAGATAAAGTATACTGCTCGACAGAAATTGAAGCAGTTTTGAATAAATATAAAGTACACTGACTTAACATAATTTTGACACGGTAATGGCAGCGTACACGGTGGATTAAAGAAAAATGTTGCTCTCCTTCATGAAAAACCAAAGTAACACAGGAAAAAGTTTAGAATTCGGTTAGTCTGTTCAAGCCGACCCACCCACCATATTCAACTAATTATTACCTCTTCCGATCGCTTCAAAATGCTTCGTCGAAACCTTCTTGTATCAAAGCCCACAGAATTTTACTCAAAAGATATCGAAAACCTGTATGACAATTAATGGTGAATATATAATTTGAATGCAAAAAATGTATTTTTTTAAAAAAATAAATTTGATAAAAAAAAATCACCCATGTTTGTCAGACTACTATACCGATTAACAGATAAAAATTATCCAAACCGTGTAAGTGGAAAATTATCAATTGTCAGATTCAGTAAATCTATTTTTTAGAAATGATTAAAGATATCTTACTGGAATTTTCCGAGGTTTTTATAATACGATGGATTAATTGTTGTCTAAATTACGCAAAAATGAATGATTTTAACAGATATATTTACCAAAATTACACAAAACTATCTTGAAATACTAAAGAGTAAATTTATTCAATAAAATCACCATTGGCTTCAACTACGTCATCCAGATGACTTCGGAATCTCCTGCAGTTCTTCTGGACGGTCTCCTTGTTTAAGTTGGTGAATGCTGCAATAATCCTTGTTTTCAGTTCATCTTTGGCGTTACAAGGCTCTCGCTCAACTGTGCCCACACATTAAAATCAAGTGGGTGCAGTCCGGGAGTTAAGTGGCCAGATGTAAGAGGTGGTGCGGTCGCAGAAATTGTCTGACAGCCATGACTGTGTTCTCCTGCTTGTGTGACATGGTGCAAAGTTCTGTTGCCAGACATAGGGACTTCCAGCAGCCACCTCTTCACCCAGGGCAGCACTGCCTCCTCAAGGCACATGTTGTAGGCCTCTGTGTTGAATCTGAGGCCCTCATCACCAAATTCGGGAGTTCTTTTCTTTTAGGAAAGATCAGAGTGAGTTTTCCGAACTACCGTACCTTCGTAATCACCATTATACTCACCCAACTCTTTCCGAATCCTCTGCACTGTCCTCAGATGGACACCGAAACACTGAAATTTTTGTATTGGAGCTTCCGGTGCGAGTGCCAAGCAGTACAGCATGCTCTTTCCAAATGACTGGCGGAGTGAATTGCGTCATGGTGCTCTTTTTCTCGCAGATGGCGGCCGAATGCCCATACTATACTGTACAGTCGTCAAAATTAAAAACAAACAACGCGCATGCGTGAAATTAAAAATATAAACAGGCGAAAATTTATCCATCGCATCGTGTATTTCATATCAGTTCTAAACCAGGCCATGACAATCTTTATTTATTTACCAAGGGCCGCATATTATAAAAGATGGCTAAGGCAAAAAAATAAATGAAGAAATTTTGCTAATTTACTTTTTACAGAAAGTATCTCAAAATTTTCACTACATTGACCATATTGTTGCCTTAAATATTTGAATTTGAAAATTGGAAAAAAATTTCTTTGGATAATTTTTTTAACTATATTGAAATCAAATAACATTATGATGAATAATTAAATTGTCATATATTCTTTTAAAAAATCATTTAACGAAAATCCATGAGAACGAATGAAAATCATCAATTTATTGATACAAACTGCTATAATTAATTTGTGATAAAAAAATTCATAACTTTAATCTCGATCTTTAAAAAAAAATGAATGTTTGATGTTCAAAAGATTTAATTTGTTTCATATATTTGTTTTTTATGAAAATCGTAATGGTTTAAAATGTTTAACGTTAACCAAATCCTGATAAGGAAATTTAAATATTTTTAAAAATTGTACTTAACCGACAATACATTAAATTCGTTTTATCTGAAAGAAAAAAATCAAGATCTAATTGTTATTTTCCTCATGAAAAATTCATAATTATTTTAAAAAGCCAAAGAACATGACAATCCTTTTAAAGTCACAGATTGCCCATGCCTGATCTAAACTTTAAATAAGAAATGATTTCATTTACATCATATCCATAAAATTAGACTTGAGAATCCGCGGTAAATTACGTCTCAGTTGAACTAAAAGACAATGTAACGATTATAAATTTGATGTCTATAGTAAAACTGAATTTCATTCAATATTTTTTAGATATTATATATATAAGAATAATTCCATTTAAATATATTTATTTGATGAGGAAAAAAATGACAATTTTTTAAATATAAAAAAAATTTCATATAAACATTTGTCCATAAATCCTTTTCATTAAGTCATGTCTACTTTTAAAAAACTTTACTACTAGATTTTAACAAAACATCAAAATCAATGTGATGAGGTTACATTTGTCATTTTCGTGTTTTTTTGTGGCCATGCTAGTCTGTCTTCATTAATTTAACGTGTGAAGGTAATCTTGAGTTAAAAAAGAAGTGTTCGTCTAACAATAAATTCAGTATATATCATTGAACAGATATATTTTTATTCATTTATAAAGAATATTGGTATATGGTAATGTCAAAGGCTGCAGAGATGTATCTTTTTGAATTCAAACTGAAAGGTTTTCACAAAATCAAGATTTTTTTTGGAAATCAATTTGTTCAATAAGAACCAAGAAGGCAACAAACCATTTTAATTAAAAATGAAATCTTAAATCATTGAAAATTTAAATGTCTAAAATGTAAATTTAAATAAAATTTTTATCAAAAACGAAGTAAAATTTCATCATAATTTTTTTTTTTGATTTTGTCCTTTTTTTGATTTGAAAGAACCCAAAAAATTTTGTCAAAAGATTTTTATACACCCTGTAATGATAATTAAAAACTTTTTTATTCGAACTGGATAAAAGAAATTGTATTTTTTAATGAGAAATCAAAATTTTTGTAATGAAAATTTATCTTTTGATAACAAAAGAAAATAAGCATGATATCTTATATTTATTAAAACAAATTATTCAGTTTAAAATATTTATTTAATAAAAATAAAATAAAAAAAAAATCATGGATAAAATTTCTGATTCATTTGATGACAATTCATTTAAAATTATTTTTTTTTCCACTTCTTTTTTTTTCTTTTTAAATGTTTTTTTATTCAACAAGTTTCAGAACGTTGTACGTTCAGGCTTTTTTCAGGTTATATATTTCGAATGAACATTTATTTATATCTACCAAAAATTCCAGCAAAATTTAATATAGTTCAAAATAAATGCTTCTTCCGGATGGATCAGTTATCTCTCTTTAATTCAGATCTCCAAATTGTTATTCACCACTGCAGTAGCCAGGTATTGAACTCACAACTCTTTGGGACAAGACACTGGATCCAATCAACGCTTTTATCCACTGGGCCATGTGTTGTGAATATCGCAAATAGTTATAATATCCCATCTCAGAAATATAGACAGATATTCAAGAAATATTTTTTTTTAAATCTTCTACTTGTTCAATGGGTAGATATAAATGTTTAAAAAATTCTAAAATCATTTCTCATTTGATGGACACCTTCAAAACCGCCGATAGAAAAATGATTAATAAATTTTAAATCAGAAAAGAAATTATTTTGTTTTTATTTAAAAATATATTCATAAATTTCTAATGATTATATGATTTTTCAAAATTATTAAATAACGTAAATTGAATAAACATAAATAAGGTCCACAAAATGTTTTATATTACAAAAAAATATTTTACCTATATATAAAAATTACTAATATATATATATATATATATATATATATATATATATATATATATATATATATATTTTATAAATATAATATTTAATAAAAAATCAAAATTTCAATTTCTTGAAGATGGAACAGAGCTTATTTTAACTCAATTTAATTTAAATAATTTAAATATTTAAATAATTATATTGAAGTTTTCGGCTCTTGTTTTGAAACATGGAACTTCTTATGTCGCGATTTGGAATCATATTTTAAATAAATAATTATA